CTAAAAGAAACTTGTATGCAATGCAATTATAATAAAATTGTGAAAACAGGAATAAAGTATTCTATTTATTCATTACAGGTATAGATATAGTATTGACAATGTGCATAGCGCTTTACATATTGTACATTCACATCAGTCCCTGCTCTCAAGCAGCTTACAATCTTTATAGTAGGGAAGCACCGATACCGGTATTTTGGTACCGAGTACGAGTACCGATAATTTTTTTTCGGTACTCGCCGATACCAGTTACAGAGTAACGGAAGTCCCATTCAGGAAGCCAGGTCATTACACGCCACCTGGCTTCCTGATTAGCCAGGAAGCCGTGCAGCGTGTTAAGACTCGCCACTGGCTTCTCGATTGACAAAAAAGTCTGTCCCCTCTTACCTTGTCCAGCCTGTCACCCCTGGGGCCTCTGTAGCCAGAATGCGGCCTTCCTCCGGAAAAATATTGATTCGATTATAAGTCAAACATACTGTTCCAGCATTGCTTAATTATGTTTTTAAGTGGCATGAAAGGTATGTCTAAAAATCAGAAATGTGAATGTAAAAAAGTAACATTAAATGAATATTATAATAAAAAAATCTAGTTATTAATTATGTATGTAGAAAGACAACACTAATAAGTTAAGTCAAAATGAAATATGAGATGCCAATAATTATATAACTCATTGTAATAACAAATTTCTAAGCCTAAGTACTTTATAAATACTAGAAAATAGCCAGTACCAATGGTATCATTAATTAAGCCAATTCTATAATTCCTGTTTACTTGCAAGTTTAAGACAAGGGGTGTAAGCCTGGCAGCAGATCTATGCTTGCGTTCTAGGCTCAGATGCTTGAGCATCAGATTTGATTTTAGTAAATCAGTGGGAGGCTTGATCATCACCATAGAGCTGTGGCCTTGTGAGCCATCTAGCTTTAGTAATTCAGGTCCTTGTCTCTCTTGGGCTGATTTATTAAAGGAGTTGTTTTTCTTTGTTTCACTTAACCCTGCAAACGTGTGGTCATGTCAAATGCCAAATTATGTGCAGAGAAATTAGAAAAACTAGGAACTTCCTCTGTATGTGGTTGACTATTTGAAGCAAATAGCAAGTCACTGGGCTAAGTGAAACCATTCTTCTTTTACTAATTCAGTCCCCATGTGTATGCGTGTGTGTAGTGTGTCAGTAGTGTGACTGCCTTAATTATTAATTAACCTTACATCCAATTTTTCTTTTGATATAATAAAACACAGACGCACATACACACACACACCTGATTATGAGAAACTGAGAAACTGAAATGTGCATGTGAAAAATAAAATAGGTTTACATATAAACATTTAACATTTTCCAAAAGTCAGTTTCCTAGGAGAAATAGGACTGCTTGCTGTGTTAAAGATGTATGTAGCTGAACTTTTACTTTGGTTTCAGACTCGGCACTGAAATAAGCCATAATTATAGCTCTCAGTTGGGTTGTTTACAAAGAGACATGATATTAATATGCAATATTATAAGCCTTCAGTAACACTATATAATACATCGTATCCATCCATATAAGACAGTATCTCTACACTATATGTCATACTTCTTTCCTTTACACCCGGGCTTATATATATTCTAATAAAGATGCTTAGTATTCTCCATCTGAAAGAGGAAAGCTATCGATTTCACTGTAAAAGCATGTCAGATTTGGTATGTATACAATATTAGTGTTTATTTACCATCTACACATTTGATTATTTTACACTCACATAACTAGTATAACATAAAAAGGGTTTTGGATGGAAGTATTTGCTGCAAATGTACATAAGAGGAAACTAAAGATCAGATATAAAAAATACATTGAGGGGAATTTATCAAAACTGGAGCAGCCAAAATCTGGAGCAGCTGTGCATGGCAACTAATCAGCTTTTCTCTTTCATTTTCAAATCTTAACAGAGCAAACTGAAGAGAGAAGCTGAATTGGTTCCCCCGGGGAACTGCTTCAGATTCTGTCTGCTCCAGTTTTGATAAATTCCCCTCAATATGTCTGTAGCAAAAATGTATTCACTTGTAGAATGTGAAGGAGTAAAGAGACACAATATTTAAAGTGGAACTCCAGGCAGAGATTTTTTTTTTAATGGTCTTTATCAAGACAAGCAATATATACAATGTAAATGCAAAACATAGCACATAGTACATGAATATAAGTGGTTGAAAATAGCTCAAATTATAGGGGTAAAACAATATGGAGACACACCTTTAGCATGTGTTGCTAATATAAAATGTGATTGAAATACTTCTGGGGTTGTGAATAAGAGCGCTGCGGCTTTCATACACAAAAGTCGTACTGTCCTTTATCTGCTCCTTGTTTACAGAGCGCCTTGTAGTTTGTGAATGGTGCACAATATACAACATACAATGCATTCTGTGAATGGACAATGACAGTAGAGAAAATGTATAACAGGGGGTAGGCAAACTATGTCCTCCATAGAAAAATGAAGGATTCAAGTCCTGTGTGACAGCGCTCTCCTGGGGGGTGGGGGATGGGTGGTTCTGTGTTGTTCAGAACTTTTCCAGTATTAGTTTGGTTAAGTGGGGGCTGTGTGGGGGAGGATGGTATTGAGGTGGGGGTGGCGTGCGGCTTCAGTTCAATATGGACCGGGGTGTCCAATTGGTATGGGTGCAAAACAGAAAAAAAGAGAGGCGCAACTGCCCTTGGGGTTGGACAGGTGAGAATAGGGTGGAGTTTCATGGGCTAGGGCATGCAGGGTTAATGCTGCCCGAGAAACAATTACGTCGATATATACATCGCGGAGGAAAAAATATCAACGTAATTGTTTCTCGGGCAGCATTAACCCTGCATGCCCTAGCCCATGAAACTCCACCCTATTCTCACCTGTCCAACCCCAAGGGCAGTTGCGCCTCAGACTCTTTTTTTCTGTTTTGAAACTATGTCCTCCAGCTGCGATGCAACTACAAACTCCATGAGGCATTGCAAGACTCTGACAGCCATGGGCATAACTCCCAGAGGCAGATGTATGATGGGATTTGTAGTTTCACCACAGCTGGGGGGAGGAGTTTGCCTACTCCCAATTCATAAAAACTGAAGCAGTCAGAATCTGGAGCAGTTGCCTATGGCAACGAATCAGCTTTTTTTCTAATGTTTTTCAGATAAGCTTTGAACATGAAAGTGAGAAGCCTATTGGTTGCCCTGGGCAACTGCTGTAGATTCTGTCTGCTTCAGTTTTGATACATTTAAGCCAATGTGGCTTCTGCAACTCTCATAGTTGCAATGCCAGAGGTATAGTGCTGGCTGTTCTTCCCAGAACCTGTATAATGTTTACAGTACGCAGCAGCAATCTGGGCATGGGGCAAGCATCATTATAGGTAGTTTTTTTCCAAACCATGATTGACAAAAAAAACTCTGGAGTTCTGCCTTGAATATTGCATGTACACAGCAGTGATGTGGGATAAACATAATTAGCGCTAACTTTTTTTCTACACTATAATTCAGAGAAAAACATTATCTGCCTGGAGTTCTGCTTTAAACTGTCATACCTAGTAATTACGCATTTCTACCGTCAGGTTATCGAACTGTTAAATGAACGTCATTTTATATTATATCTCCTTTGTAACAGATACCAATACTGAAACTGTCAGCGGTACTTTGCAGAGTACACACAGAGACCGATTCACTAAAGGAGTTGAAGTTGTTCACTCACAAACAGAGTAACAAGTCACTTTAATTATCCAGTTGGGTGCAGATGAAATAAATGGAGTTTTGCTTTGCTAATGACTGGATGATTACGGTGAACCTTCACTCTTTTTTCTAATGAACATTCGAAACTCTTCTAGAAGATCAGCCTAATAATCCTTGCTGACAGTCTCTGCTATTAACATGAACATGCGTTAAGCATGCCTGATGACGCTCAGTCACTTTTAACCTTCCAGTGTGCTGGACTTTAGTTAAAATAGACAGCTTGAACTGCGTACAATATACTATATTACGTACACTCCTGTGAGAACCCTTTCCATTAAAACAGGGCTTTCAGCTTTCTAAACACAGGCTTCTGCCCCACAGAAACAAATAAGGCTGCATTTCTAAGAAGAGTAGACGAAAACCCATGTCTGGACCTATGCAGCAGCGTCTAGCACGTCATAAAAGGATGAAAAGCAGACAGATAGTAAAACAAGTCACTTATTGGTGTTGAATCACTTATACAGGAAAAGTGTTACTTTACTCACTGAAGTTGCTCAGCAGAGTGAGTCGCATGTCTGTGATACACAGTCGTTGTGTCATTGCCATGTCTAATAAGACATCAGCCATATCACCAGCAATAGTAAACGTACAGTTTTAATAATCTACCTATAAGCATAAAGTAGCTCACGTGCTGAATAGCTTTTTTATATCCTGAAGAGAAACAAACAAAAGTATCTGTGAAGCAAGGTAAAAAATACTTCAGAAGAGAAGGGTATGACAGATCTGGAGCAAAGCAAATCACATTAGTAACACTATAATGTACAAAACTGCAGATACATTATTTTAAAAAAAAGATCGAAATAAAAAAGAAGGAATCACTGAGAGGAATAAGAGAAAGAAAAAAAAGATAGAAAGATAAAAGAGAGGAGGCGGTGAATACATGAGAGCATGAGAGAGCTCAAGGAGGGAGCCTGTCACAATGTTCCTCCCCTTCTACAGCCCTTACTCATACTAGACTAAAGAACTCCCACCCTCTCATTCACTCACTCACTTGAGGCCAAGCCGTCCTCTCTGTCTGTCTCTTTTTCACTCTTTTCTCTCTCTCTCTGTGAGACAGAAGTCAGAGCTTCCCTCACTGACAGCCTCAACTATTCACAGCACTTACTGAGGCTAGAGAGAGAAACTGCAAACCAAAACTACACTGACAAACTTTTTTTTTTTCCTCCTCTCATTTTCTTTTTGTTTTTGCCTAACAGTAATATTTTTTTTCCCTAGGGGAAAGAAAAATATATATTTTCTCAAAGGATACACTTTTTATTTTTATTATTATTGTTATTTTTAAGAAGAGGAAAAAACTAACAAAACAAAGGCAAGCCTCTATAAACTGGTGTCAGGATGTCTGTGCATTTGCTGAACGGATTTTTGCTGGTACTTTTCTGGATTACAGTGAGAAGTACTCCAACGCCAGGATCTGAGGGGCACACTTCAATCACTGACTGTCCATCATGCTCCCTGTCCAGATTCCACAAGGATGCACCCAGTTCTCAAAGTGACATGGTGGAGGCAGTCAAGAAGCACATTCTGAATATGCTGCACTTGAGGGACAGACCCAACATCACGCAGCCAGTGCCCAAAGCAGCTCTTTTAAATGCCATCAAGAAAGTTCACGTGGGGAAAGTAGGAGATGATGGGCAAGTGCAAATAGATGATAGAATTGCAAGGCGAGCGGAAGTTAATGAAATTTTGGAGCAAACCTCAGAAATTATCACGTTTGCTGAAGCAGGTGAGTGGTGGTGTTCAAAGTTTGTCACATTTTTTGAGCTGTCAAGTTTTTTTTTTAGCAGTGAAGTATAGGTAAAGGCTCCAAAGCAGGTAAAAGTAACAAAATCTTTTTTTTTTTTCTTCAGTGATTTAACCTTGGCTGCAATCTGCTTGTTTGCATTTGCTAAATTCACATAAAATATCTTTGAACAATCTTTAACAGAGTACAAGTGTGTGAGATGGGGGGAGGAGGGTACAGGCATTCTCAAAAACTCAATGAGAAGCTCCAGCTCAGAGTGCTAAATATTACAAAAAGCCCCAGGGCTTGGTTTTTTTCTTCTCCCAGCAAAGCAATCAGTTAGCATGATGTGAAACAGTAACAGCATTTCTAGCAATAGGTTATGGTATCTGCTAAGGGTTAATGATACTCAAAGGCATGAAAAGTAGTGCAAACCAGAGCAACAAGCGGTCGATCCTATGCAGGGAGTGAACTGAACCCCATCTGGTGCCAAAAAATGTGCAACTGCCATCCCAGGTAGCGCAGCCGTAAGGGAGCTGTGCACTTGCAGTGCTCCCAGCTGGGATATTAGACAAGTGGCTATCTGTACTCTGATGCCATGGCAGAATATCCCACGCTTAAAGTGATCCATCCTTTGTGGACGAAGGGCTCACCTCTTATTGCAGCAAGGGAAAAAAAAGTTGTCATATCCACTGTGAAATAACTTTTTTTGTACTCCTCCCAAGACAGGGTCTCCAAAATTCCAGTGCTGAAATGCAGTCTAGATTGAGTATGTTTTGACATGAGACCTCGCTCCCATTCATGAGGATGGAAAAAGTTCAACGTGTTCCCCAAGCTGCATTGAAGATTGCTTAAAACATACTAGCACAGGCAGAAGCTGTAGGGCTGTCAAACTTCAGGGCTATCTACCCTTCAGTTTTGTAAAAGCAATTTTTTTTCCTATCTTGTCTGTACGCCAGTTAGAAAAGAATGCCATTGTTTAGTGCGGTGTGTGGAAGGCAAAGTATGTGCGGGAACTATAAGCAATATTGTTTAAAGTGTGCTGCAGCAATATAAACAATTAAGACAGCACTCAGAGTTTCCAGTCTTAAAAAACCTGTTGACTCAGATGTTCTGTCTGCAGGAAAGCCTTGCAGTGTGTGTGTGTGTGTGTATGTGTGTGTGCATGCTTTCACAGCAGACATTCCTGCCAGCTTTTTTGCTGCTTCTGAGTACACAGTGAAGAATTGCATTATATCCCCCCTGTCAGTGAGGCTGTGTTATTAATCGTGAGAGCTATAAGCCAATCATTATATACATTGGTCACTAACTGCAATCTACAATGAGATCTAATGTACAGAAACAGTTCTTTACCAGTTTGAGAAGGGAAAGGGTCAATGTAGATGTATGTTCACTTTTTTTTTTTTAGAAAACCCATCTGCTTTGTTATTATGACTTGTATTGGCAGAATACACACTCTCCCTACACAAGATTATATATAGGTATTATCCTCCTGGCGTTATAGCACTGAAGCCAATACGCAGATGATTACGCCAGTTTTTCAGGAAACCTTGAATTGCGTTTACATTGTTTAAATAAAAAGTAGCAACAGATGAATTGGTTGCTATGTAGTAACTGAGGTTAAGGCAGAAATGTGTTTTACAATATAATGTTGTAATTTACATTTTAGAAGCACAAGGAGGCAGCATTTTTTCCACTGTCCTGAAATGAGGGACAATCCTCTTATTTTTGGAATATTTGTTAAATGAAGAGATAGTTTTCATGTGTAACAGGGACCAGAACAAACTTACTGAAGTTGTCACATCAGTTCAAATCCGGCTAGAATGCAGCTGGTTTATGATGTCAGCCTTTCAAGAAGTTCCTCTGTTTTCATTGGGCTCATATGCAACCCCACAACTACCCTGAAAATGAAATCATCTAATCTGGTTAGTTTAGAACAGCCAAAAAGCATTCTTTGCAATGGTTGGTTGCTGCGTGACACTGCACGCTACCCATGTTTAGAGCTATGTGATAACATAAGTAGATGGAGAGCCCATAAAGTCACTTCAGGACAGGTGGACTCAATACGATTTTAAAAGTGGAGGAAATAGTGCCAATGGTAATTAATACATTGGCACAATATTTTTTTTTCATTTTACTGTACTGGCAGTGGAGGCTGTTTGTCATCTGGGGTGCAGGTAGATAAGTTGCATCTCCCACAATCCCAAACTGTACTTGGGCCAGATGTTTTCCACAGCTTGGCATCAAACACTTGGTGTCATAAGACTAACAGCTCACTTCTTTGAAAAAGTCATTAATAATGTAAAAAAAAAGTACGTAGTTAGGCAGTTTCTGAAAAAGTAAAGGTGCATATTCCTCAGTTTCAATCCCGGTCAGAACACTATCTGCATGGAGTTTGCACAGTCTCCCTGTGCCTGTGCGGGTTTCCTCCGGGTTCTTTGGTTTCCTCTCACACTCCAAAGACATGCTGGAAGGTTAATTGGCTCCTGTCTAAATTGGCCCTTGTATGTGTATGTATGCATGTGAGATAGGACACTTAGATTGTAAGCTCCTTAAGGACAGGGCCTGATGTTAATGAATAGCATGTAAAGCGTTGTATAAATTGACGGCACTTTATAAATACCTGCAATAATTAAAGGAATAATAAATATTTGCCACATGGATTAAGCTAAATCTGCCAGTGCTTCTCCTTTGCTTTAACAGCACACATTAGTCAGTTAACCATTTACATCTGAAATAATGCCAGTATGTATTTATTATTCTGGCTGACTGACAACACAGTTATTCAGCTATTGATTTGCATGCAATATTATCCATTTAACAGATGTCCTGGTATGTAAAAGATGTAAGAGATATCATTTAATTCAATCATATCCACATCCCTACCTAATTTCTTACATGATTACAAAATATAATTACTTTTCAAAGATATAATGTGACCCATTAATTTACCCCCATACTCTTAAATATGTATTAACAATAATAAATAAGTATTTACATGTGTACCAATGAACTCTACAAAACTGTGATGCTCTGTAGAACAGTAGCTTCATTTAAATGGCCACGAGAGGGCACTAGCTACCGCAGTCTGAAATTAGCCTGTTGCTTTATTTTACATTAATACATGAATGCATGGTCCCAGCGGTGATCTCTCATTGGTTATTTGCTGTCCTATCCGTTGGCAAAGGCTGTGTACAGGCTATATAAATGCAGCATCTCTGCTTCTCTAAGAGGTAGAATAGGCACCACAGAATCAAATAAAAATATATATCACTGCCCACAAGAAATTTCAAACAATGCAGTGTTTCTGTGCTTACGATTAGGAATATATTTAACCCTGATTTAATATGTCTACGAGGGGCACTGTTTTATGCACAGACAAAAGCTGTTTAGGTAGTTTTCTGCCTGTGATTCTCTCATTGACTGTGATTGCAGTTAACAGCTGACATGGGACCATTTTTTTCTTGTATATAAAAAGTCCCTTATTCACATTCATCTTGGCGGATCGGAGCCATTCTGCAATCATTTACATCATATTGGCAAAGGGCAAATAAGGGCAATATTTCTTTGGGAGCCGTCCCTAATAGGGTAGAATTTATCAGAAAATGTACAAGTATTTGGGAAGTGACTGAAGAGAGACTGAAGAGAGAAAAGTCAAACGGAACTATCCCCTTTCCATGGGAACATCGGGGAAACTTTTTTTTTTAGCATTTTTAAAAATCAGCTAACTTATCTGAAAAAAACCTTTGTGATCAAATAATAAAATCCTTTTTTCTTATTTATAGAACTTCCATTAACAGGTATCTTGACAACATAATCTTCCTTGAGGGATTATGAAATCATCCTTGTAGAAAAGTACTGTCGTGTCTCCCTGCTCAAACCATCTTTTTGCATAGGACCCCAAAATCTTGGCAATGAAAGGGTTACATGTGCATAAGCCTTGAAATAAATTATTTATTTGATTTGTATTTAAATATATATATATATATAAATATCTATATCTGTATATAGATAGATATAGATATATCTATCTATATATAAAAATATATGTATATATTTATATTTGCTGTCCTTTAATATCCCTGCATTAAAGTGTACGTCTAGGCAAAACTTTTTTTTCTTTTTAGATAGAGTGGGGAAGAGTTCGATCCTCTGTGAAGTTTTTAATGCTGTGTGTGTGCCCATTGGGGAGATTTGATCTCTTTGTCCTGATGACCATTATTTCCAAAACAAGCGATAAGGGAAATCTGCCAATGGGGACAGTTCTCTAAGAGGGGAATGGGAGATTTCTTCCATCTTCCTGTTGCATCTTTGGGAGAGAAAGTGAAGGAAGATATCCCCAATGGTATACAAACAGTTAAAAAAAATTAACTGGTAGGAGTTGTACCTATTTTAGTAATACATACACTTTAAGGAAACACTCAACCATATGCAGTGCAAGGCCTAAGGGTCAGTAACACATACTGTAGCAACCAATCAAAAACCATTTTGTACGTGATGTGACCAGATTGGTTGCTATGTTTTGCTATACTGTGTGTATCTTCATTGCTCCTTGCATTGCCTTATGGAATAAGCCTGATTTACCCACATAATTGTTGTTGAACAGAGGAGCCACAGCACAAAGCTCTTATTAATGCTTGGAATAATGTTTTTTACCTAATATTTTTTTAAACTGTCCATCCTTTTTAAATGCTGCCAAGGAAGAAAATCCATTTAAGCAGGAAATCAAGCTGCAGCGTTAGTTTATTTCTGGATAATTTAACTGTTGGTATTTATCAGCCAGGCGGCAGTGTGCCATGCCAAGAGGTCTTTTCACCGAAGTTAGGGGATACGCTGTAAGTTATAAAAATATTGTGTATGTAATATCACTCTCAAAGAGTCACTCATAATATGCCAGTATTTCTAACAAGGTTCTCTTATATAGCTACTGTTAGCAAAGCTTTATTTCATTTGTCTATTATTTTACATACATCATTTTTGGTAAGGCATGTTTCTATCCAACT